AGAATGTGTGAGATCTGATATCAGGATAACAGAAACGCGAGGAGGTGTGACACATGTCTTTTGCTCCCGATGTAGCAATAACTGGCGCGAAATTCAAATTACTGGCGTGTCTACCTCTCGTCGTTTCTGCGATCCTGATACAGACTCCCCATTGACTTATTATCGCATTTTTGAGTAAACGTTCCTTGCAAAGTGATACCAAACTGAATGTGTGAGATCTGATATCAGGATAACAGAAACGCGAGGAGGTGTGACACGTCTTTTGCTCCTGTGTAGCAATAACTGGCGCGAAATTCAAATTACTGGCGTGTCTACCTCTCGTCGTTTCTGCGATCCTGATGCATACTCCCCATTGACTTATTATCGCATTTTTGAGTAAACGTTCCTTGCAAAGTCATACCTAACTGAATGTGTGAGATCTGATATCAGGATAACAGAAACGGGAGGAGGTGTGACACACGTCTTTTGCTCCTGATGTAGCAATAACTGGCGCGAAATTCAAATTACTGGCGTGTCTACCTCTCGTCGTTTCTGCGATCCTGGTACAGACTCCCCATTGACTTATTATCGCATTTTTGAGTAAACGTTCCTTGCAAAGTCATACCTAACTGAATGTGTGAGATCTGATATCAGGATAACAGAAACGCGAGGAGGTGTGACACACGTCTTTTGCTCCTGTGTAGCAATAACTGGGGCGAAATTCAAATTACTGGCGTGTCTACCTCTCGTCGTTTCTGCGATCCTGGTACAGACTCCCCATTGACTTATTATCGCATTTTTGAGTAAATGTTCCTTGCAAAGTCATACCTGACTGAATGTGTGAGATCTGATATCAGGATAACAGAAACGCGAGGAGGTGTGACACACGTCTTTTGCTCCTGTGTAGCAATAACTGGCGCGAAATTCAAATTACTGGCGTGTCTATCTCTCGTAGTTTCTGCGATCCTGATACATACTCCCCATTGACTTATTATCGCATTTTTGAGTGAACGTTCCTTGCAAAGTCATACCAAACTGAAAGTGTGAGATCTGATATCAGGATAACAGAAACGCGAGGAGGTGTGACACACGTCTTTTGCTCCTGATGTAGCAATAACTGGCGCGAAATTCAAATTACTGGCGTGTCTACCTCTCGTCGTTTCTGCGATCCTGGTACAGACTCCCCATTGACTTATTATCGCATTTTTGAGTAAACGTTCCTTGCAAAGTCATACCTAACTGAATGTGTGAGATCTGATATCAGGATAACAGAAACGCGAGGAGGTGTGACACACGTCTTTTGCTCCTGTGTAGCAATAACTGGGGCGAAATTCAAATTACTGGCGTGTCTACCTCTCGTCGTTTCTGCGATCCTGGTACAGACTCCCCATTGACTTATTATCGCATTTTTGAGTAAATGTTCCTTGCAAAGTCATACCTGACTGAATGTGTGAGATCTGATATCAGGATAACAGAAACGCGAGGAGGTGTGACACACGTCTTTTGCTCCTGTGTAGCAATAACTGGCGCGAAATTCAAATTACTGGCGTGTCTATCTCTCGTAGTTTCTGCGATCCTGATACATACTTCCCATTGACATATTATCGCATTTTTGAGTAAACGTTCCTTGCAAAGTAATACCAAACTGAATGGGTGAGATCGGCTATCAGGATAACAGAAACGCGAGGAGGTGTGACACACGTCCTTTGCTCTTGGTGTAACAATAACTGGAGCGAAATTCAAATTACAGGCGTGTCTACCTCTCGTCGTTTCTGCGATCCTGATACATACTTCCCATTGACTTATTAATCGCATTTTTGATTAAATGTTCCTTGCAAAGTCATACCAACGCTGAATGGGTGAGATCTGCTATCAGGATAACAGAAACGCGAGGAGGTGTGACACACGTCTTTTGCTCCTGATGTAGCAATAACTCGGGCGAAATTCAAATTACTGGCGTGTCTACCTCGCGTCGTTTCTGCGATCCTGATACATACTCCCCATTGACTTATTATCGCATTTTTGAGTAAACGTTCCTTGCAAAGTCATACCGACCTGAATGTGTGAGATCTGATAATAGGATAACAGAAACGCGAGAAGATGTGACACACGTCTTTTGCTCCTGATGTAGCAATTACTGGCGTGTCTTCATCTCGTCGTTTCTGCGATCCTGGTACAGACTCCCCATTGACTTATTATCGCATTTTTGAGTAAACGTTCCTTGCAAAGTCATACCTAACTGAATGTGTGAGATCTGATATCAGGATAACAGAAACGCGAGGAGGTGTGACACACGTCTTTTGCTCCTGTGTAGCAATAACTGGGGCGAAATTCAAATTACTGGCGTGTCTACCTCTCGTCGTTTCTGCGATCCTGGTACAGACTCCCCATTGACTTATTATCGCATTTTTGAGTAAATGTTCCTTGCAAAGTCATACCTGACTGAATGTGTGAGATCTGATATCAGGATAACAGAAACGCGAGGAGGTGTGACACACGTCTTTTGCTCCTGTGTAGCAATAACTGGGGCGAAATTCAAATTACTGGCGTGTCTACCTCTCGTCGTTTCTGCGATCCTGGTACAGACTCCCCATTGACTTATTATCGCATTTTTGAGTAAATGTTCCTTGCAAAGTCATACCTGACTGAATGTGTGAGATCTGATATCAGGATAACAGAAACGCGAGGAGGTGTGACACACGTCTTTTGCTCCTGTGTAGCAATAACTGGCGCGAAATTCAAATTACTGGCGTGTCTATCTCTCGTAGTTTCTGCGATCCTGATACATACTCCCCATTGACTTATTATCGCATTTTTGAGTGAACGTTCCTTGCAAAGTCATACCAAACTGAAAGTGTGAGATCTGATATCAGGATAACAGAAACGCGAGGAGGTGTGACACACGTCTTTTGCTCCTGATGTAGCAATAACTGGCGCGAAATTCAAATTACTGGCGTGTCTACCTCTCGTCGTTTCTGCGATCCTGGTACAGACTCCCCATTGACTTATTATCGCATTTTTGAGTAAACGTTCCTTGCAAAGTCATACCTAACTGAATGTGTGAGATCTGATATCAGGATAACAGAAACGCGAGGAGGTGTGACACACGTCTTTTGCTCCTGTGTAGCAATAACTGGGGCGAAATTCAAATTACTGGCGTGTCTACCTCTCGTCGTTTCTGCGATCCTGGTACAGACTCCCCATTGACTTATTATCGCATTTTTGAGTAAATGTTCCTTGCAAAGTCATACCTGACTGAATGTGTGAGATCTGATATCAGGATAACAGAAACGCGAGGAGGTGTGACACACGTCTTTTGCTCCTGTGTAGCAATAACTGGCGCGAAATTCAAATTACTGGCGTGTCTATCTCTCGTAGTTTCTGCGATCCTGATACATACTTCCCATTGACATATTATCGCATTTTTGAGTAAACGTTCCTTGCAAAGTAATACCAAACTGAATGGGTGAGATCGGCTATCAGGATAACAGAAACGCGAGGAGGTGTGACACACGTCCTTTGCTCTTGGTGTAACAATAACTGGAGCGAAATTCAAATTACAGGCGTGTCTACCTCTCGTCGTTTCTGCGATCCTGATACATACTTCCCATTGACTTATTAATCGCATTTTTGATTAAATGTTCCTTGCAAAGTCATACCAACGCTGAATGGGTGAGATCTGCTATCAGGATAACAGAAACGCGAGGAGGTGTGACACACGTCTTTTGCTCCTGATGTAGCAATAACTCGGGCGAAATTCAAATTACTGGCGTGTCTACCTCGCGTCGTTTCTGCGATCCTGATACAGACTCCCCATTGATTTATTATCGCATTTTTGAGTAAACGTTCCTTGCAAAGTCATACCAAACTGAATGTGTGAGATCTGATATCAGGATAACAGAAACGCGAGGAGGTGTGACACACGTATTTTGCTCCTGTGTAGCAATCTGGCGCGAAATTCAAATTACTGGCGTGTCTACCTCTCGTAGTTTCTGCGATCCTGATACATACTCCCCATTGACTTATTATCGCATTTTTGAGTGAACGTTCCTTGCAAAGTCATACCAAACTGAATGTGTGAGATCTGATATCAGGATAACAGAAACGCGAGGAGGTGTGACACACGTCTTTTGCTCCTGATGTAGCAGTAACTGGGGCGAAATTCAAATTACTGGCGTGTCTACCTCTCGTCGTTTCTGCGATCCTGATACATACTTCCCATTGACTTATTTTTTGAGTAAATGTTCCTTGCAAAGTCATACCAAAGCTGAATGGGCGAGAGCTGCTATCAGGGTAACAGAAACGCAAGGAGGTGTGACACACGTCTTTTGCTCCCGATGTAGAAATAACTGGCGGGAAATTCAAATTACTGGCGTGTCTTCCTCTCGTCGTTTTTGCGATCCTAATACATAATCCTCATTAAGTAGTTATCGCATTTTCGAGTAAACGTTCCTTGCAAAGTCATAACAAAATGAAAGAGAATTCGCAGTAATTGAGTCTCATATTTGGACAAACAAGATGAATAGATGGGATCTGCGATCAGGATAGCAGAACAGCCAGGAGATGTGGAGTACGTCTTATGGTTCATACTACTCGTCGTTTCTGAGACAACTGAATGAATATCGCATATATGAATCATTCACTGCAAAATAATACCGAATTGAATTGATGGGATTTGCTATCAGGATAACAGAAACGCAAGGAGGTGTGGATGCGTCTATTGCTCCTGATCAGGCGACAGTTTTCATAGGAGCTCTCTCGATAGACTGGACACGCCCACTTAACTATAAGACAAGTATTCTAATCCGCCATCTTTCTCCCTACAGCAACAACACAGTTAACCAGCCTAGATACCTCTCGTCGATTCTGCAATCCTGATACAGAATTCTCAATAGCTGAATATCGCGTTTGAATAGGTATCAAAAGAAAAAAAAAAACAGAAAAAACAGGACTCCCGTCCGCCATTTTAGTTTCTATAGAGAGAAAAATTGGAAAACCATAGGGCAAATAAAAAAGTTGAAAAAATATACCAATGTATTTTAATATAAAAGTATCATTTATTTAAAACACATAGTACAAAGCATGATTTCTGTAACCTAATAACTATTGATAGGAGTAAATGTCAATATATGCGAAAGCTATCTGCAAGGATCCTCGTCATATAAAAAAATAAAATAACATTTTAGAGCAGTCTACATACACTAAAATTGAGTACGTTGAAGGCACTTGAACATTCCTAAAGGCACATATATAGTCAAAGGTGCTTTCACACTATTCTGGCACCACCACACTTAGTACTTTTTTCTCTATTACAAAGACACACAGCAAAGTATGAAACATATTGGAAAGATAACATAACGGCTAATACCAAATACAAAAAAATTAATTACCTTGAACATACGATGTGTCAAATATATAAGACTGCAAAAATATGATAAAATTGCAGCTATTGTGAAGTTTTGATAATGGCCCAATGTATAGAAAGATACTCGCGTCGTGTGAAAGTGGCCTTACACGGCTATTACATCAATATTGACATTCACAGAAACAAATACCTAAATATAAACCGTACTATATCATAACTAATCAGTACTTTTTACAGGAAATCAGCTGATTTGTAATTATAAAATATAGTAAATTATAAATAAAACCTATTTATATCAACTGATTTTTAAAATATACACAAATCTCATTAATCTACATTAAAACTGTATAACAACTGTAATTTATTTTACTGTGATTAGCAACAGTTTTTTGTCATGAAACAATTCGACCTTCAACAAATTGTCCAAATATATCATGTGATCCCCAGATACAAAAAAGTTATTCCTCTATTTCCTTTTAGCTTTAAAAAACAAAAAGAACTTTCTAATAAGAGATCCATTAAGGGGAAGGAGAAGTATAACTTTTCGGGAACGAGCTCCATGACAAAACCACAAACTAAGAACTAGCAACGCCAAAATAGACAAAAAGATTTTTGAAGCTTTGAACATTTTCTGATGAGAATAAGTATAAGAAATTACTCGCCAACTTCAAAACTACTGTGATTCCAATAAATAATGTCAATCTTTTGGTATAAATAATTTGGAATACCGATATAAGCAATAATAATAGATATACCAGGTTTGTGAAATTCATGTGAAAAGAATAATCCATGAAACTGAAGCTAGTCGAACAAAAGCTGTAAGAATAGACATAAATAGAAGGCTAGAAACAACTACAATAATTAAGAAGAAAGTACCATGCACAAAACATGTGGGATTTGACCACCAATTTAAATGAAAATTGGTATAGTGATACTTCATGTTGTGATGATCAAATGCTTCAATGGGCACAAAGCCCTGAAATGCTTTCTGTCGGAGATACAGGGTGTTAAAGTTTGGTGTTCTAGCCCCTGTAGCAAAGCCTGCCTGCACCGTTTTACGAATTAGCTCTGTAACATACGCAGAGAACTTATATAATATAATATATAACGATATAATAAAAATCACGTGAACACATACAATATATACAGGGTGTCCTAACGACAATGGAAAATAGTTCAATAGAAAAACTATAAAAGATAATAGAAAACAATATGCGCGGCAAGATTGACATCTTATAAGTATGCATTTCTAAATTATTTGGGGATACAAGAAGTTGTACAACTCCCTGGCAAACGTGTTTTTTTAATGACTCCTCTTTCCTAAATTCAGTGAATAACTATTCAAAATGGCAGAAGTCGAAAATAGGCATTTCTTCAGAAAAATGTAAAAAAGAAAATAAACAAATTTCCGATCAAAATCTTACAGCGTGTTATATCAACCGTCTTGTTTTCAAAAGGCCTTTCCAAATATCTAACGTATCTAACATTAAAAAACACGGAATTTTGAAACATCCTGTATATTTAGAAAGTGATTCACGTTGATATATTGTAAGTGTTCACGTAATTTTTATATCGTTAAGTTCCCTGGGTATATTAAAGACAAGTTAGTTTTCGCAAAATGGTGCAGGCAGGCGTACCCACAGGGGCTATCGCACCAAACTTTAACACCCTGTATCTCCAACAGAAAACATGTCTGGGCATTGCGGCTATTGGAACATTTGATCAGCACAAGATGTAATATCACTATATCAATTTTCTGAGTTGATCGGTGGTCAAGTTCCTAATGTTTTATGCCTGGTACTCTACAGGATGGGACGTTGCTAGTCCTAAGTTCTCACCACAGACCACAAAAATATATGCCTATTTACAAAATTAATTTAGACGCTGTGAAGTCCTGTGAGTAAAAAAATAATAATAGCGTTTCAATTAAATAAAAAATTGCAGCTTTGGTCTACCAGTTTTTCCCTACTACATGTATACTGAGAACTAAAAGGAGAGATTTCAATGGAAGAAAGAAAAATGAAAAATACGCATATCACAGGATCATTAGCATAAGGTTTTCAAAAAAAAACGAGCACTGCTCTGTTTTGAGGTCTGCGGTCGACGGTCACATGTCCATTTCAACAAAATCCCATTATCACTCATATACTCACACGCATACTTCTTTTTGTAGCAGGGAGACATACTTTAAGAAAGAGTTCTACTATGAAAAATAATGTCGCTTGATCATTGAAAATGTACCAATCAAGTCGTACACAAAAATGTAGTGACATGTCTGAAACTAGATAAATAGGAAAATCTAGACACTGTGTGGAATTGAATACCAAAAATATAGTTTTGTCAATGAATAGTATCTGACAATAGGCCAAAGAATAGTAATGGTTTACACGCAAGCAAGTTTTTTACGAAAAAATAAGAGCATCATAAAAAAGTAGTTTAATCAGATTATCAAATGTATGGAAAATTAATAGCACTTTGTGGACTGAAACATCACTCCAGTGAATATTTTTGAGAGCTTAGGAAACATGTTCATTGAACAGAGTAAGGTAAAATATAGACCAAGAAATGGAACTTACAAGATTCGGGTTATTATTTTTCGGTATTCTGTCAGATAAACTCCAGTGACAGCAAATTATTATTTTCAATACGTTTCAAAAATGTCCAGGATAATTGTCTACTTCTTATATCAAATCTTCTCAGAAAATTTTTGTATGAATGTTTGTGTCATGCTCTTGATGCGACCTCGTCAGTTACAGTATTAAGAACTATGTTTTTTTCATATAATGATAATCACAAAATAATGTTCAATATCCCGCTAGGTAGAAGTAGAAGTTTTAGAAATAGTAGAGCGCTACTTTCCGAAAAATGCCTGCGTGTCATAGTAAGACTGTTTCTTTGTATTCAAGGTCTCCCTGCTCATCGCCTACACTAGCTAACAACAAATAGTCGCAGTTTCGCGTAAAATCACATTCAAATGTAGATGGCGTCCGAGCCCTTGTTGGCCTGATGACCGCCGGCGCCTGGCGCGTATGTATTGTTCGGACTGGCTATGTTCTCCGACCAATCAGAATTACAGGACTTGGGCGAACTGCTCGACCAGTGGCCTGGACTTTCGGGTGACGGCGTCGGGAAGTTCTCGGGAAGCAAGTGCTCAGACGGCGGCGTCAGGTAAAAATTCTGATGTTGCTGCGTGGCGCTCGTCTGTTGCTGTTGTTGGGGCTGTTGCTGGAATTGTTGGGGTTGGAGGCTGGCAGGCGTCGCCGCAGTACCCTGCATACCTGGAAGAAAGAACATTCCGTGAGTCATTTGTCCATAACAGGGGCTTAGAATAATGGGTCACGGAACAGTAGGAAATACTAGCCACATTATTACTAATGGCTGTATCGTCAGTCGTTCCTACAATTCGTAGGACGCCTTTATTGCCTCCTTGATTTTCATCGCTTTACATGTCCTTCAGAAAGGCTGACTCTTAAAATAGTCCACAGAATCACCCCTTAAATCTTTTGGACATATCCTATATTTTGCTAAACGGTATTTGGGTGAGAAGTTGGATGAAAGAATAAAATCAGCTAAATGATCGCAATATACGGACATAAATGAATGGAAAAATGTTTGGGACGTACCTGGGAAGGCCATCGACAGATCGAGTCCAGTTTGGCTGAAGTCGAAGCCCATCTGCAGGTTCTGCGTTTGTGGCACACCGCCGTGTTTCTGTTGGGTCGCAGCACGCATCGCCGCAATATGTGTCGGACTGGTTGGCAGGGATGGCCGATTCTTGGCTGGGGACGGGGAACCATTGTACCTACAACAAAAAAGAATATTAAATACAAACATATATTGGAATCAATTCTTCCAAATAAATCATGTCAGGTCAGATGTAACAAAAACTTACCCTTGCGGTGAGAGCGACATGTTGGACTGAACCGAGTGCGGCGGCGACTGATTCGAGTAGGGAGGGCTCAACGTATTCGCCTGCATCTGTCGTTGCTGCATCAACAACTGATCCTGGAAGATGTTGAACGCTCCGTAGTTGTCGAACGTAAACCCCATGTTGTTCTTCACGACATCCTCGTAGCTCGGTGGCTGTTTGTTCGCCAACAGGTTTTCCAGACCTGCAAAAGAATATACAGGTATAAAGAAAACTGACATTTAATTGATGGCGTACTGACAGCATGTAATAACCTACAGAGCCAGTAAATAATTTGTTAAGTGATATAATTATGATAATACAACGCTGTCACAACAATGCTATGTAGAACTAACAAAAAAATCTGTTTTTCGCATTGTGGATCAAGTTAGTATCATACTCACCTTGGGCAAGGTTCATGTTGGAATAGATAGACGTGGTATCGTATGGGCTGGGCAAGTTTGTCATGGGCGACTCGACCGGACTCAACGTTGAGGTGATGGAATCAACGCTCGGTGAGACCTCTGTGTGTGGAGGAGTCTTCTTTTGGTTCTTCTTGACGCTAGGCTTCCGCCGGATGCTTCCAGCATTGCCTATCCCCTCTCCCTCAGGACTCGTTGGGCCGTTGCTTTTGCTCGGCCTCTTCGATTTTTGACGTTTGGGCATGATCACTGTAGGTTGTTGCAGCATGTGACCCGTTGAAGCTAGAAACATAAAAAACTTGTTGAGTTGGAGCTTTGTAATCGTAGATTTATTTCTGGCTATTAAACCGCAAATTGGTAAAAGTACTAAAAGTTACTATACGTGGTGTCGCAATTTGTCAATAAAAAATAAGCAAATAAGTTACAAGCAAAAATTTTATCTTAGAACTGAAAAATTGTCTCTCTCTAACTCTACACAAAGATGTTGCTCTTATGATTGGAAGCACTCTAGGCAATCCTTGTTCAGCACCAGTTTCTCTTACATCATTTACGCCATCATGATGATTTTGCTTGAGAGATTTCATCATTCGGAATTAAAAAAGTCCCAGAGAGCAATCCGATGCTATAAGGTAGATGCGATAACCTAAAAACCCTTTTACGTTAAAAACAATTAGGGAAGGAACGAGGAATAGAGGAAAACTTTGCGCACCATCTCTGCGTGTTCAAATTCTGCCCTTACTAACCGTTCCTTTGTTAATGTTTAACTTGTAATAGCGCTTCTTAATGGGCACTATTTCTACTGCGTTATGTACCTTCATCTTCATACAGTAATCACATTTTTCGGGGAGTTTCCAAAGGAGTTTCGACCAAAATTCGGTAAAAATTGAATTATTCCAAAAAAATGCATAAAACGAACGAAATCTGCTATCAATTTCAACTTTAGACTGAACTAAAAAGAATGTCTCGTATCGCCACGCAGATATTGATGAATAACAGTGTTGCTAGTTCCTGAGTTATCACTGAAATTCCCGAACTTATTGCCACACTCCGTATGCCGTGTAAGAAAAAAATATAAATTTTAATAATTGCAGGCTTGTCACTTCAACTTGCTAGTGCTAACAAAGTCAGTACTCACTCATCATGTTGTTGTTGGAGGTCATAACGTTGACCATCTGTGGACTGCGAGGCACGTACTCGTCCAGCAACCGGACAATGTCATGATGCAGCCTTTCGCTGGCCACATCTCTCGGCAGCCGGTCCATATGGTCAGTGATCTCCTTGTTGGCGTAGGCCTCTAGCAATGCCTTACAGGCCTGATAGGAGCCCTCGCGTGCCGCTAGGAACAGCGGCGTTTCGTCCTTGTCATCCTGCGCGTCCCTGTTGGCCCCGTGTGCCAAAAGGATGTTGACCGCCTCCACGTTGTTGACGGCAGCAGCCCAGTGGAGCGCTGTCTTGCCGCTGTTGTCGGCTGCGTTTATGTCTGCCTCCGCGCTGATTAGGTCTTGCACCTGGAAAAATCACAATCATAGACGCGTTTGCTTCCGCAAATGATAACAGTAATTGAACCAGCAATTTGGAAAGATAGTCAAGTCTGGTGAGCAGATAGCGGAGTCTTTGAGAAAATGGCGTCAAGTAGGTTGACTCTGCACGTCCCACGCAACGCCCTTATTAGTACATAAAGGAGTTTAGCTCAAATTAGACACTCTGAGCAAAAAGTCATTCAAACAGGATCATTTAATTAGTCTATAGACATTATTTCCCTGCTCTACCGGTGGTGCATCTGTTAAAAGTCGCTTTAAGCTTATTTACAAAGTTATCTGGTATTTTAAAAAACAATTGGGCAAGGGACTCGATGGGATTTGGGATATGCTATGGGATTCTGCATGACTATACGCCGCTTCTTATACAGTAGGACCCCGATTATCCAGAATAATGTCGAGCCAAGTGCTTTCGGACAATCGAAACTTCGGATAAAACGGAAATACACATTTAGACTCAATGCTTTTATTGAAAAAAGTAAATGTGTGTGTTAAGTGAGTATATACCTATACAAAGTTACGTAAAATATAAACTAGTGGATACAAATATACATATTTACCAGTATTTAGTAACAAAGGAGGTAATTTTTAACTGTACACGTTTTGCATTGTTTCTATTTTTGGCAGCAATATCCCTCCAACGTTTGATAATTATCAACTTATAAGTAGCAGATCAGCTGCTGTCGCATTTTCTTGTTGTTTGATGTAAGTCAACGCCTTTTGTAGAGCTTCTAATCCCTCAGAATGTGATATTTTGGTAGAGATGTCTGTCTCATTGTCACTAACATCACTTAAAACTGTCTCATCGCCATTGTTACAAACAGTTTTTATTAGTTCTGTATCAGTTAATTCTTTCACCAATTCATCACCATTAATCCACTCACCAACATCTGCTTAGGTAAGATTTTCACACCCTGCTATTTTTACGACGTTGTTATTCTCCATTCCATTTCTTGCTTAATTATTGTTGACCAAGATTCTTGTAAAGTAGAATTTGTTACTTGGCTCCATGCGTCTGCTATCCATTCACATTCTTGAGGTTAATAAAATACCACACTGGAAGAGCGTTGGGACGGACGTGTTTAAATGCTCTTGGTTTGGTTGATTTTTCGATTAACAACAAAAGAAGTTTGTGTGTACCGGAAGCATTGCTGCTACAAGCAAGGATAGTCACACGTTCTGTACTGCATTTGTAACCGGGTCTCCAGATTCTTGTTTTGAAGCTAAACTTTTCGCCGGTTTCGTCGCAGTTGTAAATTTGTTCTGGATTTAAACCATACTACAATACCGTGTCGTTTTTTTCCATCTATGCAGCCAACCTTCACTGGCTGGAAAGATATCAGGTGCCTCAGTAACTGGCAATTCTTCACTCAAGTTGGCTGCCTTTTGCTTTAGAATTGGTCTGGAAATTGGTATTCCACGTTTTCGGTTCTGTGTAAACCACATAGTTTTCTGTGACGGCTGTGATGATGTCAGAACACTAGACCACTTTTCAATTTTCTCGCGTTGTTTTTTCCATTCTGAAATGGTACTCACACCCACACCCAAATTACTAGCCACATTTTTAAGCAAATCACCTCTATCTAAACGTCTGATTGCCTCAAGTTTCTGTTCTATGGTAATAACAACGCGTTTACGTATATTTCTATGCTGCTCCATCTTAGCAGTTATGAACCTGACTGAAACGAAACATACACGCACACATACCAGTGAATTCTGCAAACGCGCTCGGGAAATCACCGGCAGCGAATCTAATGACGCAAACGCCGAAAGGGGAACTACCGGCGCGTATTTCGAATCATGCGCCGATTTCCCGAACAACTTCGGTTAAAACGGAGAAATTATTGTATGCGATCTGTTTCAGATAAAGCGGATTTCGGATATTCGGGGTTCTACTGTATATTGGTATCGCTACTTACCATGCCCTCAATAGCTAGCCTGGCCGCAAGTATAAGAGGTGTGGTGCCCTCGTGCATACGTGCGTTGAGATTGGTAGCCCTGTTGCGCAGCAGAATCTGGAAGACTCCAAGAGCATCTGCTGCCACTGCAGCGTGCAAAGGCGTCCGTCCAGTGTTGTCTTGCGCATTAGCGTCCGCACCTGCGTCTAGGAGGCGTTTCGCTGCGTCTGCTCTAGCGTACCTGAAAACAAAATACATTTATTAACAAAAGATCATGTATAATAATAAATTAGCCTTGTAGATATAGCAGTTCAGGAGATGCGAATTGTCAAAGTTTAGCAGTTTTTCGATAAATTGTGAAATATCTCAACAAGTTTAAAATAAAACCCTATAGTTGTTACATCAAATTTCTTTCTGCAATCAAATGCAGGTCTTTCCATTTAAATATTGTATGTTAGGGGTAACTATGTAGTTATGAAACACCCTGTAGAGATGAAAATATTTTCCAAGTAAGGAGCATCCTGTTAGCTACAATTTTCGCAATTAATTCTTTTAGATACGTAATCAAGGAGTTATTGACCGAGCCCACACCGAAAACTCTCCCTCTATATGCCTAAGAGTCTCGTGAAGAAATATTACACAAAAATATTTTCTGGGTTTTTGTCGTGAAGTAACCAAAATATGTGTTCTCTACAGGGGTAAAAAAGTGACTTATCTCATAGTGAAAATACGAACCTGGCAGCAAGATGCAGCGATGTCTCCCCGGTCTTATCCATAGTAGCATTGAGCTCGGCGCCTTGAGCCACCAAATCCTGTATGATAGCTCCAGCGCTATCGTCGTCATCTTCATCTATACCAGTGTCTATCCCTCCGCCTCGTACTGCTGCAACCATGATGGGCGTCATGCCGCAAGGACCTCTAGCATTGATGTCATTATGCTCATTGCCCTGTTGCGGAGGCGTGAGCATTGCTGGAGGTCGGATATCAGCTGCCTCCAGGTGCTGTTGTGTCCATCTTGGTTCCGCCTCTTCGTAGTCCGTGATAGCTGTGTGATCGCTTGAGTACCCTAGGTCATTTCCGCGGAACCGTTTCGGTTGTGGCATGTCGCTTTCGTCGTCAGACCATTGGGGCACGTGGCCGTGGGGTCCGTTAGGATCCATCTCCATGCCTGGTATCGACGGGCCTTTGCTCAAGTTCCTCAGCTCTTGGCCCTCGGGTCCTCGCCTCCGCGATCTTCTCCTGGTTCCGGAGTTGGCGGTGAAGAAACCTTCCGGGAACCATGTTATGCCCGCAGCCCGCTTCCTTTGAGTTTGAATCACGACGAAGATGACAGCGCTCAAGCAGATAACCAGCAAAATTCCTATGAGGACGTATTTTGCATTCGCTCCTGGGCTATCTTCCACTCCAGTCGATCCGCTGACTTGGAAGATTGGAACGGAAGTGGAGAGGGTATGTTTAGAAGCTTTAGCAGCCAAGAACTCTGCGGCGGCACTTGCGGTTTGGAAACATGCGGAGGAGTCTGACATTGTACTGCATTTCCTGTTGTCAATCTCCAAGAATACCTTCACACCTGAAAAGAATGATAGTTTGAAAATTACCCAAATAATGCTGAAAGCAACATTTCATGAATATTCAGATAAAATATGGCTAACTAACCTGTTTGGGACTGTTCAGAAAATGCAATATGATGTTTCCTTTTGTAGTAATCGTCCTGCAATCCACCACTTTGTGTTGAACCGACCCATGGGTAGATCATGTCGTTGCCTAAGTGATCTTTCTTCACCTTTACAACCGTTCTCAGTTGCCTGCTTGTGTCTCGAAGGAAATCTACCATTTGTTTCTTGAAACTTTCCATGTCCATCAGCACCACAACAGATATTACACCTGTAACCAAGTGTTCGAGTCATTTCAATGAAACAAAATAAGCGTTTAAAATTGATGCAGTGATGCCATGAATCTATTCCTAACATCCTAACAGCAAACATCCAAATTGATTTTTTTTAATGTGTACTGGTCAAATCTTATACATTATTTGTTTTAGATTTTATTTGCCTCTGGCTCTTTGTGATATATTAAAAACAATTATAGTTATGGGAAGATCAGTCGCAAATTTAGTTGAATTACTATACGAATTTTATGTGTATGGGTTGTGAATTTTGGAGACTAATAGATACTATTTCTAAGAGGCATAACAAAAATGCCTATTCTCTGACATATGAAGTCCTTGTGCGCTTATAAAAAATGTATTTACATCAGAAAATTTTTGTTACATACCTTCTGCGATATCCGGAGGTGCCTTGTCACAATCCAAACCATCCCAGTTGCACTCAGCATTGTTGCAACCATAGTCGCAATATCCGTTCGCATAGTGGTTTTTGCAGTAGTCATCGTAGATAGGGTTACAACCCTGAAGCTTCTTCTCACAATCTCTACCGTCAAACAAACACTCAGCATTGTTACAGTCTTCGTTACAAACGTTGTCGCCAAATACCTCCCAGCATCTTATGGGAGCGGTGCAGTTAGCCCATGGATTGATACCAAACGAACAGTCGTTTCCATCGAAGTCGCATGCGTAGGTGTTGCATTCTTCGTCGCATTTCATGTTGCCTCGTTTCATTGGACAGTTGTTCCTAAGGCATTGTTGTCTTTGCTTCTCGAGGTCTTGGGCATAGTTGCTGGAAAAACGGTGTATTATCAGTATTTTGCCTCCAAAACATGTCTCCTGAATGTTATCATTTTTTCCTCTTAACAAGAATTTGCAAAACTTGCTCTTTAAAGTTTAAACAAAGAGTACTTATTTCAAGAGAAGATATTTCGTAGAATGTTTTTATAATCCGCTGGTCGACCCCATTGGCCTTGGGAGGCATATCATAATAGGGAATCCGATCGTAATTTTTTGTTACCTTATAGCTAAAAAACAAACTTGCTGATTTTGTTGTTTAACGCCAAAATATAGAAGATTTGACTAGTTTTTAACATCTCATATTATTATGCGATGTAATCAAAATTTTGCGGTCTGCTCTTGAACTTTTCAATTCAATTCTTTATTTGTGTTCATCAATGCGTTTACACAAGCCAAAAAAAATAGAGAAAAAAGTCTGAATAATGACTGATGTTCAATACTGAACAGAAAATATATCGATTGAAGACTTTGGTGCAAAAAGGGGTCAACTCAATTTTTCAGGGTTTTAAGATTTGTAGTACAAAAAGGTGTTAAACGGGTGCTATTTTGGTAGTACATCTATCCGGCCAAATATGGATCTCAGTCGTTAGACATAGAGATTCATAAAAGTGGTAACTAAATCAAAAAATTCATTCTGGAAACTTAACAAGCTCTTTTTGCACTCATATGTCAATTTTTTTACGTTTGAACACGTTTCGGGAGATGTGCCTTCTCTTTATGTAACTACTCTTTGGTTCAAACGTAAGATTTCTCACCAAAGATGTAACGTAATGCGCTTTAGGCGAAGTGCTCCACTATTCCATTTTATCAAATGTAAGCATTGCCTTGTATTACTGTCATCTTCTGATTAAAAAAATTAGAGTTTGGAATTGTATGATCAATCAAGCTTAAACATGTAGTAGCGAAATACTGTTCAAGAATATGGTTCTTACCTAAAGTCCTGCTTAGGTCTGACAACCCTGCCTATACCAGCTGGTGCAAATCTGTCGTAAATCTCACAGTTCTTTCCGACGTGCTTTGGTGGACAGTAACAGTCGTAGTCTCCAATCTTATTTTGACAGACGGCATCTGGGTGTCTGCAAGGATTGCTATCGCATTCGTTTACGATATCCATCTCGCAGTTAATACCAGAGGAACCATGTGGACAGTCGCAAACGTACCCTCCGCTGTCTGCTATCCTGCATACGCCGCCATTCTGACAGGGTTCGGAATCACAGTCGTATCCACTGAACTCGCAGTTCTTGCCGAAGAAACCTTCCGCGCAGGTACATTTGTGACCGGAGTGGACAGTTGTACACACGCCTAGAAAAATAGTTGATTGACGTATTTTAACTAACAACCGGTGTATAGCAAACACAAGGTAAATTACATGTCCCAGAGCCATAGTTAATAATCGTCACCAAAGCTCCCAGTGGAACATTTAATCAGCATAATATGAACTATCACTGTATGAGTTTTCCGGTAGCAAAATTCCTGGTACTTTATATACAGTGCTTTTCTTTAATGTCCCCCTTCCCTTTGATTTTTTGAACAGATCAATTAAAAAAATTAAAACTCGAGGTAATGAAATTGATGAAACATAGTAACATCGATATTTCTAGAAATATTTGTTATTCTTAGCCGTATATCCAATATTGAAGCAGGTTCAGTTTCGTACACCTTTTGCTTCAAATAGCCCTATAAAAAAAGTCTAAAGGTGTCAAACCTGGCGAGCGAGCAGGCCATTCCACAGGACCTCGACGGCCAATCCAACGACCAGGGAAATTGTTATCTAAATAATTCCTAACTTGTCTGTAGTAGTGTGGTGTAGCACCATCTTGCTGGAATGCAATATCAGTATCGAATTCATTAGGATTCCCTTCGACGATTTCGGTGATTAGAGGGTCAATAGTGTTTTCCAGCATATCCAAATACAGTTCCCCGGTTAAAGTGTGTTCGATGAATAGAGGCCCCACAATATGATTTACCAATATCCCCCAAACGTTAATTTGTTGTGGATATTGAGTATGAGTTTCCCGGAAGACGTGAGGATTGGTGTCACTCAAATAACGACAATTTTGTCTATGCACATTACCGTTGAGAAAAAAATGTACATTCATCACTAAAACAAATATTTTGGATATAGGTAGGATGCCGTGCAGTGGGTTCCGTCATAGTCTCGCAGAATTCTGTTCTTCGATCAGGGTCATCTTCAGTTAGCTGATGTACCATTTGAATTTTGTATGGGTGACACTTATTCATCTTCAAAAGTCTACATACAGTAGAAGAACAAACCTCACATACATTAGCGATGGAGGAAGTAGACTGTTGGGGATTTGCTATGATCTCACCAATTATTTGAACTTGCTTTTCTTCCTGGATGGTCGGATGACCTGGGGGCTTTTTGTTGTTTACACTACCAGTAGATGTAAATTTAGATACAAGTTCCCTTAAATATTTTCTACAGATAGGACGATTCGGGAAACGATCATTAAAAATCCTTTCGGTCTCGCGAAAGTTACGCGTCGCATCATAAATAAAAATCGCTTCGATTTTTTCTTCTAATGGGCGAGAATTGACCATTTTAAAAATAGGTCAAACAGTATCTAGCACTAAAATCGAAAACTAAATAAGAATATTCAAACTGTACAATGATGTTTGTTTTCGTACTGATATTCTTGTCACTGTCAACAAAAAATAACAAAACAAGTTTTTATCGCTGGTGCTGTGGATACGCCAGGGAATTACAACATTATTTGTAGAGATATGCATGTTAGTGGGTTTGTGTTCAAGTAATTATTAAATGTACCACCATTTTGTAGTAGGTAAAGGTATTGACTTTATATTCTAGGGTTATAAAGTACTCGTCAGGAGCTTCAAAATGATGTGCCACAAGACCCCCGTTTTCATATAATTTTTTTCCAAGATGGCGCTCAGCGGCCATCTTGACATTTTCATCTGTCAATTTTACTGTAAAATATGTTATCCACGCATCAAAGGGGAGGGGGATATTAAAGAAAAGCACTGTATTTATGCTGCGAACGTGCCCGTGGTGGACATATGAACGAGGTCGAATTCCACGCATAAATGTTTTGAGTATACTTCAATTCAATAATAACATTTTCGAGATATCTCATGGTTTGCGTTTTATTTAAAAAGAAAGTTGTCAAGTCCTTAATGGAAAACTCTTTATTATTGGAAAATTATACATAGATCTTGTGTAGAAGTGGGAGTATCAGAATTAAGAGGCACAGCAATTCTTAACTTCGGATATGTTATTATACCTGCAATCAAGTTGTAGAGAGACACAAAATAAATATGGCAATAAAATTCCTTAAAATTTTGACATACCTCCATTTTGACATGGCGAAGCAGCACAGAAATTGACCTTCCTCTCGCAGTGTCTACCCATGTATCCTGGTTTGCAGTTACAGTGGTAATCGTTGACTAGTTGCACGCAGTCCAAAGTGCCCGGGTTCGAGCAGGGGTTCGAGAGGCACTCGTTAATGTCACCTTCGCAACGTGGTCCCACAAACCCAGGAGGGCACTTGCACTCGAATCCGCCGACTTTATCAATGCACGTTCCGTTGTTGTGACACGCATCTGGACGACAATCGTCGATGTTAACCTGTAAGAATATTCAAATTGAGGACTGGAAAGCCTACATTCTGAATAATGATTTTTCGTTATCAAAAACATAGAAGGCACAATAGCAAAAAACCAAAATAGGTATTATAAACTGATTTAGTTCGAAACAATTTTATTTACAAAGACCATTCATGAATCGAATTTATGTAGAACTAGAAGATAGTTATCAATTCCGGTAGCGTCCTGAGAAGGCAGTCTCACGAATAATATTAACTTGACAAAGGATGTACGCCACTGACTGAAAAATATATATTTTTTTCGGATTAAGCAGTTAATTATGCAACATTTTTGTCTCTTGGTATATCTTCGACTATTACTTTGTTTTTTTGAGGGAAAAAATAAAAACTACTTCATTACATATCAGAAAAATTGAAAAAAAATCATGTCAACTGTGATTTTACTAGGAAATGTTCTGCTGATAAGAACATATATTTGACTATCTGTGATTTTCAAACATTAATAAAAAACAAGCTGGAAACCAGACATCTTAGGATACATGCTTATATGAACTGTAATCCGGTTAAGCAACGAGCAATTGTAATTACGGCCTATGATTAAGTAACTAAACGAACCTCAACCGTTGGTTACTACACATGGGTCTACGAGACCCTGAAAATTTCTTAAATAGTCTGTTTTAATTCAAGATTCTTAATTGTTCAAAAATTATATCAAATATAAATTGCTTTATAGGAGGGTCAGATTGACCTTTTAAAATTTATTTTGAGTAATGACCAAGGGTTAAACAATAAAAAACATCTGGGATGAAACACCATGTATATTGACATATATTTTGAAACATACCTCGCATATGTATCCGAGAGTTCCAGGCGGACATGAGCACAAGAAATCTTTGACCAGATCATGACAGGTGCCTCCATTTTGACACGGATTTGGCTGGCAGTCATCCACGTTCAATTCACAGTTCTGGCCTTGGAAACCTTCAGGACATTCGCAGGAGTACGATCCAATCAGATCTTTGCAGGTGGCACCGTTTTGACACGGCGCCGAGTCGCACTCGTTGATTTCCGTTTGGCAGTAGGAGCCGGTGTATCCCTCCTTACAGTGACATCTATGGGAGTTTCCTATTGTCTCGCATGTGCCGTTGTTGCATAGCAACTTCCAGGAGACTCCTTTTCTTGCTGCGGCGTCTTTGCAGCTAACCATCTCAACGTCACATACCTAGAAAAAAAGAATTTCATAATTTGTAAGTTTTCACGATGATCGTAATTACGAGGAAAGACGAGAAAATGGGCAATAATCCCCAGCAAAGTTGGTGAATGTTGTTAAAAAGATAATGCAAGAGCACTGTTGACATCACTGACCTCGAAATGATACAAAAAGCAATGGTGGAGAATATACAAGGTTTGCGCTCGCGATTAGAAGAGTGTGTTCGAACGGATGGCAAAAATTTGGACAGAATGATATTTAAGAAATAAAAACCGCCGAATTTACGGATATGTCGATAGTAATATATATTTTCTATTCATCAAGTTTGTATTTTTTTTCTTAAATCAAAAAGTGAACTTCCCCACTGGACACCATGTATAATAGAGCAATACATTTGAGATGTCTATACTGTTTATGTTAAATATTTTTCACTTATTTAGTTGTTGAATACATTCCATAGCTCACATATTTTTCATAGATATTACTACATACCTTGCCGGTCCAGCCGGGTCCACAAGTGCATTGGTACTGGTTCTTGACTTGGCGGCAAGTTGAATGATTTTCGCAAGGATTGGTGGCGCACCAATCTACATATTCGCCGCAGTCCTTGCCGGTATATCCATATGGACAGTGACAGGTGTAGTGGGTGGTGTGATCTTGACAGGTAGCGCCATTCCGACAAGGAGAGCTATCGCAGAGATTGATGCGGTTTTGACAGTTCGATCCAGTGTATCTGCGAGAAAAAATGAAAGTTTGTATAAAACAGTTTCAGAGAAAAACGCTATTCATTTAATAAACTATTGAAATATCCTGAATTGGGATTACATACAAAAATATTTAGAATCCTTATTTACCCAGGTTTACAGGTACAAGTATAAGAGTTGATCCCATCGATGCAAGTTCCGCCATACATGCAACTCGTCTCAGTGCAGTCTTCGTCGTTGACTTGACAGTTGATGCCCGAGAAACCTAATGGGCAAGTGCACGTGTAGGAATCGACGTACTGGTTGCAAGTGGCGCCATTTTGACAGGGATTCGATTCACATTCATCAATATCGATCTCGCACTGTTTGCCTTCGAAACCATTCACGCAAAGACAAGTGAATTCGCCTACTCCATCCAAGCAAGTTCCACCGTTTTGACAAGGAGCTGAAAAAAGATCATTAGTGATATAATGTGAAAAGTATTACTAATATTCTTAAAGATTAGTTCTTCTACAAAATCATTTATTACCACCATATTTAGAAAACTTCACAAAATTAAATAGTCATTATCATAACTACGAAACTAGAGGCAGTATAGATTTTTATCTGCAAAATTGTAATAGTAGCATAACTAGTAAATCTATATTTCAAAAGGGAGTATTTGAATTTAATAAATTGAATAATGATATTAAACAGAGTTCGAATTTAAAAATGTTTAAGGTGAAATTAAAAAATCACTTTATGAATAATCAAAATACATAGTGACGTAATTTTAATTTTAATAGACAAGAATGTAAATTTACAGAAAATGGATTGAAGAAAAATATGGAACCGAATCATTATACAAAATTGACATTGTAGAATCAATGCTAAATCAATCTTCAACAACAAAAAAAGTAAGTAATGCCGTCCTCCATTGACACAAAATTATACTTATTGACAATACTTACATGATGCACAATCATCAGTATTGATGGAACAATCTTTGCCTTCGTAGCCTCGTTGACATAAACATTGATATGATCCGTTAGTATTTCTGCAAGTTGCGCCATTCCTACAGGGTTTTGACACCACACACTCGTCAACATCTTGCTCACAGAACCTTCCAGTGTAGCCTACAAGACAAAATATATATTAATGCTTCAACAGATTACAATAGCAAAGTTGGAGTTTTCCTTTACACGACGTGTAGATCTTCAGATTTTCTTAGTAACATATACACCAATGTCTTAAGAGAACCGAGATACTGGGCTCCGCAAAATCAAACCTGAACCAAACCGAAGCCGGTCCTATCCCTCGATCACGACCATAGCGCCAGCGCCAGATTACAGTCATACGACGTACGACTACGATGTAAATACGCTAGTATGCAACCTAACCTAGACGCCGATAGTGTAGGTCATCAAACCATTACATTGGTAACCGATTGGTGTTGAAAAATAAAAAAAATGGAATACTCATACACCAATAGCGAACTAGTCGACATGCTGTAAATTTACGGTGAGCGTCTTCAAAATGCAACCGAGGCTTCGCGGGTGTATGCAGATCGTTTTACCATAAGTCATCATCCAAGGCCCTTCAGATTTGTTTACCTTGTGCAGAGACTCAGGGATACTCGTACGGGTCGTTTGGAGGAATGTCGAGGTGGGCACAGTGGGAGACCTACACAGCCCCGAAAGGTGCAAACTGAGGAAGAAGTACTGAATCTCGTAGTCGAGAATTCTTCAATAAGCACTAGGGGCGTGGCTAGACAAGTGCAGTAATGACCTGTAGCATGGCCTCCGCGATCTCCAGACTTAGCACCGTGTGATTTTTTTCTTTGGGGCGAAACGAAACGCTTGATGTACAAAACTGAGTTGCACACGGTTGACGAATTACGTCCGATAATTAAGCAAGCTGCTGCATTCATTCGGGGAAGGGACTACACTCTAAAAGCCTGCACCGATGCTTGGCTACGTCGAGCACGCACATGTGTTTTTAAATCCAATGGCGACAACTTCGAACAGTACTTGTGACACCGACGTCATATTTTCGATCTCTTTTTTGTTATTTTTATTACATGTGCTCCTCGGATTTTACGACAGAGCCGTACTCAGAATTTCAATTCAACTGAACAGTGAGTACTTTTTCATTTATTTTGTTTTACTTGTTCGCTCACGTTTCACCACACATTTGCTTTGTTATATCACGCATAGTTGTGTCTGAAACGGAAAACTCCAACTTTGCGGACACCGTGTATTAAGAATGAACAAAAATATTGCATTAAAAACTGAAGACAGAAAAACAGTACACATATTTCTTACCTATCGTACATGAGCAAGCGAAGTCCAGGTAGTTCAGGCTCGGTGTACATTTAGCTCCATGTCTGCAAACATTTGGAGAACAGGGGTCTAGTTTGTCCTCGCATTCTCTGCCGGTAAAGGGTAGCTCGCAAACGCATTTGAAGTCATCCACTAGGTCTATACAGGAGCCACCGTTCTTGCATGGGTTGACAGCGCAGTCGTCGATGTTCGTCTCGCAGTTTGTACCTGAACAAATTACAGAGTGTGTCAACACTATTAAAAAAGATATGGGTTTTAGAAAGCTAGCGAGTGTTAATCTATGTTAATAAAATTAATGTGTGACAAGTTGCCATCAATTCGCAGTCAACTGAGCTCAAAATAACTGAAAAACAATGTTAGTGCCACGAAGAAACACATATTAGCAGCAAAAGGAAAAAATAGCTAATATCTGAACTAATTGTTAAGACATTGTAAAACAAAAATTCAATAATAATTACATTACACTAGACATGGAACAAATCTGCAACACACAGGCCTGAAAAAACACGAAACCTCAGAAAAGTTCTGACGTATAAAACGACTCTTACAAACATTACGATAAGGGTTATTCGAAATTATAAACGCACACATTTTTTTAATTTAGTGCGTAGAGACCTACATAAATCTTTCGCAAAATAAAATATAGCAACACCTAGGACGATCACAGTCTTTTTTGAACTTTACCTTACACATTAGCTGGACAATTAGCTTGAAATAAAAAAAATCTATTACTGATTGCACCATCATATTCCATAGTATAAAGCTCTTCATGACTAATTTTTTGTTAAATCAGTGAGAAGTAGCCCAAAAGGGGAAAAATTTGTGGACCAGGCATTTTTACTGCATTTAATTCGATATATGCGTTCAGCAGGCAAGATTCTTCCCATTCTTTTCGGGGTACTTCTAATTGAATTAAGCAATAATTACTTTATGTAACATCTCTTAATGTTTGTTTCTATAATTCTTACCTGTATAGCCTGGAACACAGTCACAAGTATAGGAAGCCAAATGGTCTCTGCAAACCCCACCATGTTGACAAGGATTGGAAGCACATTCGTCCATGTTGATCTCACATTGCTTGCCGCCATATCCTGGCAAACAATGGCAAATGTACTGGTTGACTCCGTCTTCGCAACTTCCGCCATGTTTACAGGGATTGGATTTGCACTCGTCAACATCGCTTAGGCATCTGAAAAAATAAGGAATCATACCTTTAACATTGTTTATAATTTTTTTGATCAATTATTTAATAATAATAATAAGTATAATTTATTCACATCAATTCCAAATTCTGAACAAATTTATATGTCACAAAAGGAAAATATCCTTGTATGTGGATATCATGCTAACACAACATACATATAACATAGCAGTTATAATAATTTGATAGGACTTAAAAAAATATAGTATACGGGGTAGTAGGGAAATAACATTCGTAACTTTAAGAGGTGATTCCTTGCATTATTCTAAGCAAAAAAGTTCATTATAACTTGTCCGAAAATCAATCGGGTTCGAGGAAAGTGAGTCGTAAATAATAACATTTACTCAAACATTTGGCAACGCTGCAACGCAACCGCGATACGAGCGCACGACGACCGCAACTGATTCATCGAATTGTTTACGTTTGTATGATATTTTTGTTGAAAATATGCCTTGAATTATTGAATACTTTTACGCATTTTTTTGTGGCTAATATTTTTCATTTAATAACGTTTTCAGTACAGTACATACTTTGAAAATAAAAATGACAGAACTTACCGGTACACACCACCAATTCCCACGATTATCAGTCACTTATTTGAAACGATGCGATGCACGAAAAAAGAAAAAAACAACATCCGTAAATCACAAAGTTACAGTTAAAAGTATTAGTAATCACAACACGCGGAATACGACGTTGCCAGTTGAGTGAAGGATTTTGTTTGTCTGTTTTTCTTCTGAAAATTGTATTTAATAAGCAAGAAAATTATTTTGTTAGAGACAGTTAATTAATAAATAGATGTATTAATACATTTTACGGTATCAATTTAAATTATTAAGGTGCAAAATTCATTTATTTCATGACTAAAAAGGAGTAAGCATTTTTTGCTGCGAAACGGTTGATTTTCGGTCATAGGTTATGATTAACTTTTTTGCTTAGAATAATGCAAGGAATCACCTCTTAAAGTTACGAATATTATTTCACTAACACCCTGTCTATAATATACAGTAGCCGATAAAAGTTTGGAAACATTCTTAGAAATTTTTGAAAATGAGACGACAAAAGTATGGAAACATCTATTTTAATTAACAAAATTGAATACAATAACTCTACAAAAAGATTTAAAAAATACAGTTTAGCTAATATTTGGTAGCACAGCCTCTAGGATTGAACACTGCCTCACATCTGCTGCTCATAGAAGTTGGGATATTTTGCCAAATATTTTTTATATGATCAAATAAATCGTTAATATTTTTACAAGTTTTTCTTGGCAGTTGTCTTTTAACATGCTCCCAGAGATGATCTATAGGGTTTAGGTCCGGAGATTGCGAAGGCCATGTAACAACATTCACATTTTTTAGTCTTAACCAGTCCTTTACGAATTTTGAGGTATGCTTGGGGTCATTATTTTGCTGGACTGTCCATCGTAAAGACATTTCTTCTCCAGCAAAAGGGAGGATGTGTTCACTAAGAGTATCTTTGTAATGTTTTTGATCAATTTTCCCAAGAAAGGCGGCCCTAAACCATGATATTGCCTCCATGGTGCTTAACTGTTGGCAACTGATACTTTTTGTCGAATCTTTTTCGTATTGGACGTCTCACATATGCCGACCGTCAAATCCAAACAAGTTAAATTTGCTTACATCACTCCATAAAACTGTATTGCATTGTTGTTATGTCCAAGTTAGATGAGTTTTAGCAAATTCAAGCCAGCAATACGATTTTTTTTTTAAATGAGAGGTTTCGGACTGGACTGGACGCCTACTTTCCATAGTTTTGTCGTTACAAAAGCTGTGGTATTAAAAAACGCGTGCTTTCATTTTCAGAGAATTTGAATATTGATAAGATAAACCTTGGATTAGTGCGGGAGCCAAAGGTAAACTTTAATATTTATATTATCTGATCCTTCACAATTTTAATTTAGGTACATGAAATAGTTCATAATAATGTCAATATTTGTTTCCAAACTTTTGTCCGCTACTGTAGTAACATTAATGTTTCTGATAGGTGTATCATTTAAATAATTTTCTATTCAATTTCAGGATGTATGCTCTTTTTTACATACCTGGCATCAAAGTACCCTCGTGGACATTCACATCTGAACCCATTGACTAGGTCAATGCAAACGCCTCCATTTGCACAAGGATTTGAGGCACATTCATCGATATCATTCTCGCAATGACGTCCTGTGAAACCTGGCAGGCATTCGCATGTGTAGCTGTAAAAAAAGCAAATTCTTAAAACCAAATAATCATGACGACAAAAATCATACAATAAGTCGTGCACTGTAACAAAAAAAATCAAAATTTACCAACATATAGTCAAAATCACGAAAGATGACTATTACGTCATACCATAAATTGTACTGAAGTAATCAATAGAAGTACGTCGATGATAAAATCACGAGTCAGAAACATAATATCAACAAATTTATATTATGATTTTGCGAAGTTAGGTTATTTCACTGGTTATTTTTATTTCATGGTTTTGAGTGATACCTTAATAATAATTTCAGTGGGGAGTTTTTGTTTTGAAAAAAACAGTTATGAGTAGAATACCTTAAGACGGGAACACCAAAGACCAAAGTATTATTCGAAAACAACCTAACCTGCTTCAACATAACCTAACTATTCATCTTTCAAATATGATCGATCATGCAACATGAAAACATCGTCTATCTTTGTCGGATACATGCAAATTAGCAATACAGTTTGTTTAGACAATAAAATTCTGTTTGTCTCTGTCTAACATATCAGAAACTTCATTAAATATATCCACAAATCGCTATCGTTTGTCTTTACTACAGACTAAAATGATGACGTAAACGTGATTTTGACTATGGTGGAAATAAACAAACGTGAAATGAAATAAAAATGAATTTATAGTCGAAATCACGAAAGATGACGATTACGTAATCATTTTAGTAGTAAAGACAAACTACAGCGATTTGTGAATATATCTAATGAAGTTTCTGATATGTTAGACAGAGACAAACAGAATTTTATTGTCTAAACAAACTGTATTGCTAATTTCCATGTATCCGACAAAGATAGACGATGTTTTCATGTTGCATGATCGATCATATTTGAAAGATGAATAGTTAGGTTACGTTAAAGCAGGTTAGGTTGTTTTCGAATAATACTTTGGTCTCGGGTGTTCCTGTCTTAAGGTATTTTACTCATAACTGTTTTTTCAAAACAAAAACTCCCCACTAAAATTATTATTAAGGTATCACTCAAAACCATGAAATAAAATGAAAATAAAAATAATCAGTGAAATAACCCAACTTTGCAAAATCATAATATAAATTTGTTGTCATTATGTTTCTGACTCGTGATTTTATCATCGACGTACGTTCATTGATTACTTCAGTACAATTTATGGTATGACGTAATAGTCATCTTTCGTGATTTTGACTATATATCAAAATTCCAAATCAATTTATGAGTTGAAGAGTACGAAGCTGGGGACTTTACGTTTGAGACCATTAAAAAAAGGTATCTGTATTGTTTTAAGGTAGATGCATCATAATTTGTTCAATTTTGATTGATTTCGAAGCCAGCCTAGTTATGCTTCTGGGTGCACAGTATGTTAACTTTGCATATGCAGCATGTTTCGTTTATATACAGCATTCCAAAATAAAAAGTATCAAGTTAAGGTGGAAAACACAAAAATAAACATGCCAAAATCATAATTTCGAACACCAATAATGCACAATATTAATTTTTATTCACTTACGTATAGTAATAGTAGGGAAAACCACTGTTAGCATGGAAATAGGAATAAAAAATGTTAATAAACCAACGTAACCTTCAATAATATGAATGCTTCAGTTTTATATGGGTGAAGATAATCATGAAAACAGTAGACTTCATATAGAAGGATAATATCTTAATCATACCAGAATTTAAAAAGTGTTAACTATAAAATACGAGGTCTGTAAATTGACTAATGAGAGTGGCAACGTAACGTTCGATCTGGCACCGCGCTTGAAGGGGAGACAGAAGGACATGCCGAACATATGATTCGCCTTTTTTGTGTTCTACAAATGAATGACATCAATTTCGAGCAACGGTATGCTATCAGGTTTTGTTTCAGACTTGGGCCCAGTGCAACGGAAACTCTTGCTAAATTTCAGCAGAACTATGAAGAGGAAAGCCTTCATCTTCAAGAACTGATGAAAATATCGACATATTCCGGGATCTTGTGGGTTCAGATCGTCGGTTGACAGTCAGAATGATAGGGGAAGAGTTAAATTTTACTCACACCACCGTTCATCAGATCAAGAATAACTGGTGTTGTATCACGATAATGCTTCTTGTCAGTAAACGAGTTTTTGGCCAGTAAAAACATTCCTGTGGCTCCTCAGCCTCCTCATTCGCCTGACTTGAGCCCGTGTGACTTTTTTCTCCTCCCGACGATGAAAATCACCGCTGGGACAGTGGAAAACATTCAAACCAGCTGAAGGCTATTCCGGTATCTGAGACCCAGCACTGATATGAGGAGAAGAACCGTCTCCAGCACTGTGTGGCTTCAGAAGGAAGTTATTTTGAGGGTGACAATATAAAATTGTAATTATACTTGAATTAAAAAATTTAAAAAAATCGGCCTCATCACTTAATTTGCAGACCTTGTACGTTTACTAAATAATTGGACATAATTACAGTTGTAGTCTTGTACCAAATCACTTAGAAAATTTTATTGTATTGCACAATGAGTACCACAATTATTCTACTAGAGGAAGTATAGACTTTCATTTACAAAACTGCAGTAGCAATATAACGAGCAAGTCAGTATTTCAAAACGGATTGTACGAATTTAATAAATGATATCAAGATGTGTGTCAGTTTGAAAATGTTCAAAGGGAAATTGAAAAAATATCTCATGGAAAACCAGAATTCATAGTAGTGAAATTTTGTATACAAATATGTAGTCTTGAAGACATAATACATTTTGTGATATACTGTGTACTATGGATATTATGGACATTGCAGCATTAATGCTAAATAAATTTGAAACAAAATTAAACCTATTCATCTAATGAAAAATCTACCAACCTGTTGATTCCATCTATGCACCTAGCATTATTCCTGCACGGATTGCTGTAGCATTCGTTGACGTTGATCTCGCAATTGGGACCAGACGTGCCGGCCTTGCACAGACACTGGTACCCGTTGATCAAATCCTGACACAGCCCGCCATACTGGCAAGGATTGGATTCGCACTCGTTGATCTGATGTTGGCAGAGGTGTCCTGAGTATCCTGGATGACAGGTGCAAGTGAAAGAGTTCTCGCCGTCGATGCATTCGCCGTGCAAGCACGGGGAGGACTGGCAATCGTTGATGTTCGTCTCGCAGGACATTCCCGTGAAGCCGGGGGGACATTCGCAAGTGTAGCTGCAAGAAATGTGGAGTGTCATTTCGCGTAACACATTTAGATCAACCTCAGTTTTATCAATATCATTTTCAGAGTTATTCATAGTAACTCTTAAACACGAGGCAAGCATTCAAACATTTGACGATTTTCTGAAAATCGTTCCACTTCAAAGATCATGGTGAAAAAAAAAGGAACGAAAGAAATATTAGTTTTTTTTTTTCAAATGAATATGCTATCTGGAAAAACAGATCAACCATATATCGGGTTTTCTAATAGGGAGTTGAGAACTTTGAACGTTCACTGTGAACGTATATTCAAATCAATTACCGAACTGTCAATGTCAAAACATTCAGTAAAGAAAACATTTTCATCATGGTGAAGTACACGAACGAACAACGCTTACAAATAATTAAAATTTACTACCGAAATTCCGAGTCGGTGACTGCAAACGTTAACGCCAATTATGTTCCGTCCTCGTCAAAGTAAATATTTAGAATACATATCGTAGTACCCTCGTAGCAGTACCCAACCGCCACGTTTTCAAAGCGCACACGCAGAGAAGGAAAGCGCCACCGCGCCGCTTCCCCCTACCCTTCACCCCTCTGGCTCTATTATTAACAAAGTTTGGGTCTTTGATGATGAGAACACAACCGTAACGGTCAGAAAATCCCAATCTGTTAAGAAAAAATAATAGCTATATTTTTCAAATCGAGCGGGATTGTGGAGCATGTCGTTTTAGACACATAGTAGACAGTCACAGCTAAGTGGTACACGGAACAGTGCCTGCCTAAAGTCATAAAGTCTATGACAACCCTGTGGTCAAAGTCAAAAATGGACACTTGGTACCTCCTCCACCATGACAACGCTCCAGCTCACCGTACCAAAGCCTGCACCGAGTATTTGACCACTATTGGAATGAAACTTGTTGATTCCCTCCTTACAGTCCAGATCTTGCTCTCTGCGACTTTGCACTGTTTCCGCATGTGATAGTGAAGCTAAAAGGAAAACAATTTTCTAGCGACGAGGATCTTCTGAGGGCTTGTGACAACGAGTGTGCCGCATTTCCGGGTCAGACTTGGCAGAGCTGGTTTGAGGACTGGTTTTGGCGGATGGAGAAGTGTATTTATTGAATGTGGAAATTACTTTGAACGGAGTCAATAAATAAAGCGGTGTTGCAAAACTTTTATAGTATCCTTTGTATTTTAAACTTTAACACATTTTTTGCAGCAAGTCGAGCAATTATCCGTTCATTCAAATGTATTTGAATCAACGTATTTTTGTCCTATTTCTCAAAACAATTCAATTTTGTCAAAAAATAAGGTGGGTATTTAACTTAATCTGCTTGCTTGCGAAAATAATTTTTTGATAGTTTGTACTTCCGGTTCGCGTATAAAAGCGTTCAAATTAATTTTGATAGAGAAAAAAAAACAACTAGTTCTCAAAGTTGGGATACTTCCTAGTAATTTTAAATATATTTAAATAATAATATCTATAAAAATATTTCCCTGTTAACCCGTTTCAGTAACAGTTTCACGGGTGTATGTATTAAAGAATAGAAAACACTCATTCAGTAAATTCTAAATATGAATGGGCAAGGAATGCGAAGTTTTACATAGTAAATAATATATACATATACATCTGTTCACCTCTACTTGTAAAGTAATAAATCATACATGATACAAAAGCGGTGAGTACTAGTAGGAACAGTTATGCAACGAAAAAATGAATCAAGATAAGTGTTACATACCGTCGTATTTGTAAACAGAACCGAAGCAGTCAAGTAGCACTAGATACGTGTACCAGCTAGAAAGGAGCATAATGCAAACAGTTGATATTGAACTTGATAATAGTGCTTTTTCGGATGTACTTTCGATACTGATTGAAAAATGTCGCATATAGGAAATGTACCTAGCTCGTTTTTATCCAAACTTTTTTTTGAGATGATGATGACATATTAGGAATGATTAATAATGTTACTTACCCAGCGATGGCATCATGGCACACCCCACCATTTCTACAAGGATTTGAAACACAATCGTCGATGTTGACCTGGCAACGAGAACCAGTGAATCCAGTATCGCAGGTGCATTTGAAGCTGTTGATGTAGTCATGACACTTGCCACCATTCAAACACGGTTTATCTTTACACTCGTCTATATCTATTTCACACTGGGTACCCGTGAAACCTGGAAAAAATGAATACCGTCATTTAAAATTGATAGAAGGACGACATCAAAGTTGAACAAAATAAATTATGGTGTGTTTCACTTGTTACTTGATTTTTTAACTATCACGCGATAAAGTGCATTTGAGTCTGAAGAATAAATAAAGTATGGAAGAACTGCGTTAAAATTGAACTGACTTTGCTAGCTCATACTCAAATTAAGCTCATAAAAAGTGCAAAAATACTACACACAATTAGCTAGCTAACTTGCCCGTATAGTAAGCTTTCCAAAAAAGTATCAAACATTAGTATGAAATCGTCTAATTCCTACCAAGTATTCACTCAAGTTGATATAAGTCAAATAATAATCTTTTCGCTGATTGATTATTTCAATAATTTGTTCTGTCGTCATTTAAACTGAAAAAGACAGCCAACCAGCTGGACGAAAGAATCAAGGTTAGTTTATTCAATGGCAAGTAGACCACATCTACTTTACAGCCAGAATCGGCAGCCATCTAGCGGTCACGTGGTGACTGGGTTATTAAACGTGAACTGAGATCCCAACAGTTCCATCTAATAGCAGCTATGCGCTTTCCGCAGTGGTCGATTCTGATGTGATAGTCTTATTTCATTTGGTACAGAATTTTTAACTCAATTTTCTCAGTCTTCAATATTTTCCCTTTACCACCTTTTACCTATTATGTATCCATCGAAGAAAGAGACTAAACCTAAATATATTCACGTATACTCCATGTGATCGCGCTCCAGAACGCCGTGCACGTTACAGGGCCGTACTAAAAATGATTTGTGGTTTTACGACACATAAAAAGTATGCATAGTTATTGCAGGCATATATAGGGTCCAAACGTAAAGCTTGGAACTAATATATTTTTTTTAATTTAACTGTCATGACAAAAAAACTGTCTATTGTTTTTAGTAGAAGTGTTTTATCAAGAAATTATACTCGACATGTGTCGTAAGACGCATTTTTAAAGCGCGCTTTCAAAAAATATCTTGACAAATCATAACCAATTTTTTTATTTTTAAGCCATCCTTGAATTTTTGATTTTTTTTTTGACCTTGTTGGAATTTTCTCTAATTTTCTTGTGTGGTATGAAGCATTATCTAATACTATGACCGAATCATCTTCAAGCTTCGGTACATTATTTGAGAACCACTTTTCGAACGAGGCTCCATCCATTTCTTCATGGTTCCCGTTTTTTGGATTCAAATGCCCATAAAGCATCGTACACAAATCCCTCTTCATTATAGATGTGACAAATTATCAATTGCTTCCCTTTCCCTAAAAATCATTCATTTTGGACACGCTCCCATAGAAAGCATTATTAAAGACCCAACAAAATGATTACTTGATTTCTTATCTCGATATAGTTTAAGCATGTACAAAAAAAATATGATTTTAGTTGAAATTCTTCGTCTTACAAGTACTAAAAAATATGTAGGTGCGCAATCATGCACCAGAAATACGTACGTACGTGTTTTGAAAGATTACCTGAGGGATTTTTTAATCTTTGCTTTGCTTTGAAGATTTTATGGAAGCATCTATCCAAACCTTCGCCGGCCCAGTGTTGACAAATTTTTCATCTAGGTAGTATATTTTCCTACCTTCTGTATGAAATTTTCTGATTTGTCTCCAGATAACTATTTCGTCTTTTTCCACTAAAATACTGTTACTTCTGTACTTTTGTATTGAAACCCCATTTCTTTTAATAATCTATGGAAAGATCTCTTGAAACTTGGCAAGTCATTATCCTCGTTAACCAGCACTTGATCCACCGTTGGTGATTCATTACGAAAGAAAAAATTGTGTACAAATCTTCTTATGGCGGTTCTGTCGAAGTGATCTATGGCATCGTTGATTTTTTTTTCTTGGCGGGTACTTGTTTGGGTCGACCAGTGAATGGTTAGATCTGTACTCCCGAACAATTCGGTAAACACTTGCACGACTAACGGCCGAAATACTTGGTACTTTGCAAACAATGTCCTGAACACTTGAGTCGCTCCTTCCTTGCATTTCGTGTTTATAAATGTTGAGAATTATTTGTTTTTCACTTGCGCTAAAATGAAGCCTTGTAGCTCTTTTTTTAGGCGTGTGCAGTTCATATCAACAACTTCATCAGCTTTATCCGTATCAGACATTTTGAGTTCTATGAAATTAAACTGACAAATCTAATAATGCCAGAATAAACCTGATACCATCTCAGTACTGTATATATATATATACAGGGTGACTTCGAAGTTGAGTCATTTATTTTAACAGTGAGTAGATCTGATCAAAAGAAATGTTTTTTTCCTTTACCATTTTTCTGGTAAAATTAAAGTAACAAAGTTATAGCTCTTTGGAAGTTTGAGTACCGCCCTGTCTCAATGTGCTCGTGTTTGGCGACAACGGATATAATCCGTCGTATCGGTTCATCGCATCGGAAACAAAAAAGCGAAAGAATTTGGAACGAATTATTTCATTCATTTGTATACAGTAAGTGTCAGTGAATAGTTGTATCTGTTGCGTGGCTCAAACGAAATAAAAAATGGCACATGTTTATGCGGATCGGTTTCCCAATCGAGTGCAACCAACCCCTCGTGCCTTTGTTAATGTAGTACAACGGGCTCGTGAATCAGGTGACTTAAGACCTCACAGGGGACCTCACGATCAAATACAGGTCCGCGCTGAAATACTTGTCGGGAGGATACTTTATAAAACAAGGTAAAAATTTTTTTTTAATTTTATTTTTTTATTTTTACACACATATTTTGGTTTATATTCCTTCTACAATCATTATCTGAAAATTAATGACTCAACTTCAAAGTCACCCTGTATAAGAGAATATGATCATGCGGAGAAAGGTCTATAACAACAAGTAGGAAAATAATGGGCAAAATCCGCAAAAAGGAGGAAAGTGGATTCGAGCAGAAAATAGGATAGGTAACCCGAGCGATACGTATTTCTGCTGGTTGGCTTCATCAGGCCCGAAATGAATACACATATGAAACTACAAAAGTAGTTTTTTTTCCTCCAACTTCGTTTCCTCAGGTTACATCCGTATCTGGATGTGTGGGCATGTGTATCTACTTTTGTAGTTTCATATGTGCATTATTTTCCTACTTGTTGTTATATATATATATATATATATATACAGGGTGACTTCGAAGTTGAGTCATTTATTTTAACAGTGTGTAGATCTGATCAAAAGAAATGTTTTTTTCCTTTACCATTTTTCTGGTAAAATTAAAGTAACAAAGTTATAGCCCTTTGGAAGTTTGAGTACCGCCCTGTCTCAATAATATCATGTGTTCGTGTTTGGCAACAACGGTTCATCGCATCGGAAACAAAAAAGCGAAAGAATTTGGAACGATGTTTTTACGATTACAATTCAGTTCAGTTATACATACAGTCAGTTTCAGTCGCGTGTGTCTGTTGCGAGGCTCAAACGAAATAAAAAATGGCACATGTTTATGCGGATCGGTTTCCCAATCGAGTGCAACCAACCCCTCGTGCCTTTCTTAATGTAGTACAACGGGCTCGTGAATCAGGTGACTTAAGACCTCACAGGGGACCTCACGATCAAATACAGGTCCGCACTGAAATACTTGTCGGGAGGATACTTTATAAAACAAGGTAAAATTTTTTTTTAATTTTTTTTTTATTTTTACACACATATTTTGGTTTATCTTCCTTCTACAATCATTATCTGAAAATTAATGACTCAACTTCAAAGTCACCCTGTATATATAGAGAGAGAGAGAGAGAGACCGGCCACCGGACCAGGCTGTATGCACGGTCGTATCGTCTCCCATTCCACCCTCCGGTTTGCCATTTGTTCTGTGTAAGGGCTTGACCTATTCTGTCCAATAACAGTTATGCCCAATCTCTCTTGAAATATATCTGTGTGCTGATCACGCGATGATCACTGTTTTGGTTTAGTCTCTTTCTTCGATACATACATAATAAGTGTGGCAGTATACGCCAAATAAAAACAACAACAATTCGATAGATATGTTCTTCGCACACGGGTGTCGATATAATCTGCGCATATAACAGGAGGTGCGAATAAAGATCTTCGTTGGATGGTACGTGGCGACATGGACAGTTTATCGGTGTAGGTGCACCCTGTCCATGTTGCTCGTAGCACGACGTATTTGTGCGGCACCGTATGCACAGGAGAGCATCTCTGTTACCATGGTACCGCGGTAGTTGTGGCAGCCGGTGAGGTATGTGACCCGCGTACACCGTAGGCCGTACCACCGATCCGCCGCCCGTCGGTGCCATGCCACGCCAAGCTGCTCGATCTGCTGGCTGCGAGTTCAACTGGCCAGGTCACTGTATGTGGGCTAATCGCCAAGACGGAATAACCTGTGCAGATGCGGACAGGCTAGGGAAACCTCAAATATGTTTAAATACAAAATGCTAGATGAGTTTCTGTCGTCTGAGGTGATACTACTCCGCGGATCTTTCTTCCCCATTTTGAAGTCAATTCTCGAAAACTAGGGGGTATACTACTAATAGAAAGTTGGTATGGTTTTATTACCTTTTGGTAAACTGTATGTTTTAACCCTGATAGAAGTCTGACCGGCGTCCATCAGTTTCTCATCTTTAAAGGCGAAGTTGACCTTGAGATTGATCGCAATTATACTCGTACGAAAAACCTAGGAACACATTTCGGTACCACCGTGCGAGGACAGTAACCTGCATGCGATTTTTCGGATGAGCGCATTCGCAACAGCGAGTATGTTTAAATAAGCAATAACTTGAGAGAAAGGATATATGGGCGCCGGCGGCATTCGAACCCGCATCGCCTCTATTCCGTGGTGCCGACCTAACCAATTTGTCTACAGCATCAGCTGCCAACCAGCTTTCAGGATCGACTGTTAGGCCCGGTTTTTCAATCGCAGGTTAACTACGACCTTGGACTTAACTTATAGTTATTTATGAAAAAGCGTTTTTCAATATCATGTTTATAGTAAAACGGAAGTTAACTTTAACCAGAAGACCATCTTTGAGTT